TCTCGGTTATATCCGGTAATGAAATGTCAGATTCCATTAGTGAGAGAATCCGAGAAGACATCTTTAATCAAATGTCAGTTTAATTATGTGTCCAGCTGGGTCAGGTGCATACTAGTATAATTTTGGAATCAAAAAAGGGTCAATAGCACAAAATGTACAGCACTTACCCATTTGTCCAGCGGCACTTGAGCAAGTGAGCCCGTGCCTTGATAGAGGTCCAGACTAAGCTGGTCCAAACTGAGCTTCTCCTGGAGGAAATTACCAAGATATCGATGCAGCAGGTACCTGCAGGCCCGCTTCTTAATAGACTCATATATCGTGATATCAATTTTGGCCATATCGTCCAGCCCTACTTGACCCTCTAACACTTGCACTCTCTATTCTATTTTGTTTTCTTTTTTTTTTTAACCTGACCCTCTAAAATTTGCACTCTCGATTCTATTTCAATTTTACTTGTTTTCTTTTTATTTAAAAAATGGACTAGCGTTCTCAATTCTTTCTCTATTCCATCTACTTGTTTTCTTTTTATTATAGAAAATGACAATCTAACACTAGCGTACTCTATTCTTTTGACTTGTTTTCTTTACATTTATTTTAAAAATGACCCTCTAACACTAGCGTTCTCTATTCCTTTTCTATTCTATCTACTTGTTTTATTTTTATTTATTATAAAAAAAAAACTTGCTATGTGTACTGTGTTAGACTAATGAGACTTGTTACAGCACTTACATAATATTATTGCTCTTTTGTTAGTTTTGATTGCTTCTATTGTCCTCATTTGCAAGTCCTGGAGGAAATTACCAAGATATCGATGCAGCAGGTACCTGCAGGCCCGCTTCTTAATAGACTCAGAAAATGGCCATGGCATCTTGACCGTCACTTGGGTTCAGTGTGTACTGAAACAAATTAGGACATTCAAGGCATTAAATGCCACATATAACCATCAGTGTTATTTTACTCAATCCAAGCAGCTGAGTCCTTAGCCATCTTCAAAGAAATCTCTTCCTTGACCTTCTAACACTTGCACTCTCTATTCTATTTCTTTTTTATCTACTTGTTTTCTTTTTATTTGTTTAAAAAAAATACTTGACCCTAGGGCTGGACAATAATTCAATATCAATATGTATCGCGATATAATTTTTTTCAATAACGGTGATATGCTCTTTTGTTGGTTTGATTGCTGATTGCTTCTTAATTTGTAAGTCGCTTTGGATAAATCTAGCATCTGCTAAATAACTAAATGTAAATGTAAAATGTAAATGTAGCACGCAAATTTGAAACATAATTATAGTTTTTATAAATATTTTGAATTAGATTGTATTTTAATTTAATTTCACTTCATTTTAATCATTTTTTATTGTTTTTTACTTTATCTATAAAGTATTTCTTAACTTTTATTTATTAGATTTATTTAGTTTTAGTTGAGTAATTTTTGTACTTAAAGGAATATGAGAAATGTTGCCTAGGCACCAAACTTAAATAAATTAAGTTTAGTTATATATATATAT